ATATATATATATATATATATATATATATATATATATATATATATATATATATATATATATATATATATATATATATATATATATATATATATATATATATATAGCTTTTTATTTCTTAATTATTTAATTGAGAAATAAAGGTATGAAGTAAGATGGCATCATGCCCCAAAAGTGATTTCTGCAGAATCAAAGCTGTAAAGAATTGGTTTGTATAATAATATATATACATAATTTTATTTTATTTTTGTATATTCTAGATTCCACCTGTAAAGTAACTTAAAAATAAAACGTTAAATGTATAATCTACTATTTTAATTATTAACAGCCTATTTCTGATTAGGGAAATTATTATTTTTAGTAGGTCCATGTGATGTTTTCTTTTTCATTTTATTTTCTTTTTTTCTTTCAAGGGTTATGAAAAATTTAAAATAAATTAAAATCCAATTTTTATAATGACCAAAAATAGTAATTTCATAATCGTTGGACCACTATTCTTATATTAATAAGATGCACTTTTTTATTCGGGAGCTCAATTATAAGAACACAGAAGCTAATCTTATTTTATTTGGAGTATTTTTACGTAGGAATGACTCGTGCTGGTTTGTGGAGATAATGTGACTATGTCGAGCATTATTATATGCTGAATCTAGATTTCAAATGTTTAAAGTTTAATATATTAATTTTATGGTAGATTAAAAATGTATATTTTAAAATTTTGTGATTTATTGGAGGAGAAGAGAGAGACGCGCGAGAGGGCGCGAGTGGGGGGGAGAAGAAAGAAGGAAGCAAGGAGAGGTCGCTTTTAAAGCAGTCTTACACACAAAGCATCAGGCGCTTGCTTAGTCACTCAGTCTCTCTCTCTGTTTCTCTCGGCGCTCTTTTTAAGTAACCTCCCACTCTCTTCTCTCTGCTTCTTCCCCCAATTCCGAATGCAGTTACAGAGGATGAATCGTCTAGCGCCGTTATCGGAGGAGCCGATCGACGAACATGACGGCCGCACTCGGAATCGCAACCGGAGTGGAAGCGGCAGCGGTGGCGGAGGAGGACGATCGTGGCGGAACTGGATCAGAACTCATTTGTCGATCCTTTCTAGTGGAAAGAGGTCCGATGGCCTTAACGTTCTCCTCAGCGTCCTCGGCTGCCCTCTGTTTCCGGTCTCCGTTCAACCTAACAATTTCGTCTCCTCTGCCAATCAGGTTTCCGACATTTCTTTACCTATTTCTGTTTCCGTTTGAGAAGAAAAATAAATTAGGGAAACAAAAACAAACATCTCTTTCTCGGGTTTCGGTTCCTGCTTGGGTGGTTGGAGATCTCTATTTTTAATTACTTTTTTTGTTTAATTTTTAAATAATATATATATATATATATATATGTATGCTTCACCTGCACGTTCTTTATACAAATTTCTTTTACATTATATTTCTTAGAAACAAATCTGTTAGAACAGAACCTAATCTGTTACAACTTTGTTTGAAAATTATGAACAGTTTAATTCTAAAATTAATAATAAACAAAAAGAGTGGCATTTTTATAAACATAAAACAAATTTAGGGGTATTTTCGTCATTTCACATTTTAAAAAAAATAATTGATTTTTTTTTTGGTTGAAAATTTAATATCTTGACGTTTTTGCCTTTTTTGATCTCTAAGATAATGTCTCAAGGAAATCAATTTAAAATTTTAGTTTTTGTTATTGAAAAATTGTATATACTTTAGTTGTTGAATTTTGGATAATTTTAATCGGATTGTATCTATTATGAAAAATTTGTGGATTAATTGTATAATTTAACTAAATAATTTTAATTACACCAATTTTTTATAATCTTTTTGGGTAGGTTTCATCATCGTCTCAATATATCATAGAGCATTTTGCGGCGGCGACTGGGTGCCGGAAGTTAAATGGGAGGGTGAAGAATATATTTGCGACCGGGAAATTAACGATGGGGTTGGTGGATGAGGTTAGTTCCGGCGGTGGCGCAAGTGGAGGAGGAGGAGTAGGAGGACCCACCGGCGGTGTAACACAGAAAGGTTGCTTTGTGATGTGGCAAATGATTCCGAATAAGTGGCTGATAGAGCTGGCTGTGGGAGGCCACAGCATCGTGGCCGGCAGCGATGGCAACGTGGCTTGGAGGCACACGCCCTGGCTTGGCTCTCACGCCGCTAAGGGCGCCGTCCGCCCTCTCCGCCGTGCTTTTCAGGCAAGTCTCTTTTCAGAATATTTTAAAATTGATATTTGATTATTGTTTGAATAAACGATGCATAGTTGTTTGTTTATATAGGGACTAGATCCTTTAGCAATCTCAGAAGTATTCTCTCCGGCCCAATACATGGGAGAGAAGCAAATGATGGGCATTGATTGTTTCGTATTGAAATTATCGGTCGATCAGACAGATTTGGCCAATCGAAGTGACAACACAGCCGAGATGATCAAGCACGCCATTTATGGCTACTTTTGCCAAAAACGTGGACTTTTGGTATACTTGGAAGACTCCTCGCTGACTCGAATTCAATCCCCTGGTTCTCACCCTATGTATTGGGAAACAACGATGTCCACAAAAATTGGAGATTATCGATCGGTCGATGGTGTTATGATCGCCCACTCTGGTGAGACCAATGTCGTCATCACACGCTTTGGAGACGATCTGAAAACGGGTCCTATGATTACACGAATGCAGGAGAGTTGGAGTATTGATGATATGGCGTTTAATGTTCCTGGATTGTGTATGGATAGTTTTATCCCGCCTCAACAGGTTCAAAAAGATTGAGATAAAGCAAGGGGTTGTGAGTGAAGGTGGAGGTGGAGGTGGGTGGATGGGTTTAGTCGTTGATTAAATACAGGGCTTAAAGAATACAAGGGGAATGGTATGTTATAGTGGCTAATATTTTTGCAACTTTTTTGGAAAACTCTTAATTCCGGAAAAAAAAAAAAAAATTAAAATTCACATTGGCATTATTTGAAAGAGAGAAATGAGGCCGTGTTGGTTGGTGCGTTAGCGTTACAGTCGTTGGATTTATGAATCTCTTGCGACTTCGTCTTTCGCTGCCATGCCGATTCCGCCACCTAAACGAATCTCTTGCGACCGAATCAGGGAAGCAGACCAGTAGTCTCCTGCGACGGTTTCGGGATTGGTATTTGAAGGGTTTCGGGATTGTCTTTGGTGATGACAGAGAGGGAGAAAGGGGGGAGAAAAGAGGGAGAGAATGTTTTCAAGTGCAAATCTACTTAATAAATCTGAATTTTGTTGATATAAAAGATCAGTGAAAATATAAGCAACAATATAAAAAAGTTCACTTTCAATTTTTTAGTAGGGTGACAAGTTGTGGCTAACAGTTTTTTATCCATCATGAATCCAGTATTCCATATTTTTTTCATTACCATAGAAATTTTTTTCTAAACTTGGACAACAGCATCAAGCTAAATCTGATCACAATTCCCACAAATTGTTCCCAAAACACCTTCAGAAGAATAATTCTTCTTAAATAAGCCCCCTGTACTCGGTCATCATTCTCTCTTAGAAAGCGCACTGCGGAGGAGAGAGCAAGGATTGTGTATTTGGTTGTAGAGAGAGAGAGAGAGAGAGCAAAGGAATGATTAAGGCATGAGATTAAAAACTTTTACTATGAGATGAAGAAGGTACCACAAATACAAAAGCAGATCACAGTGACGATCTCATGTGGAGATAACTCTGTGGGAATTGAACACCGCATGATCCATCACCACCACTCTTACTATATTTAATTTACTTTCTCAACCAACACCAACCTTTTTTTTTTTTTTCTCCTTCTGCACCTTTGCTTCGATGCTTTTCTTCCACACACCTGAACTACAAAAGCATAATTTTACTTTTAGATCGCCTTTCCCCGCAACCAAAACATAAACAAGACAGAAGCATCTTTATATTTATTCTCTGCTGAATTGTTTGACAATGTTGAAAGAGTTACCTACAGTATGGGTTAACGTCTAGGACGAGATTTGCATCGGAACTCGGCAAGAAGTGCTATGTGATCGGAGGACCATACTGGGGATGGAAGTGCTGTATCTTTTCTCAAGCTCTCTTCATCCAAGAGCTCTAACAAAGACTCCACTGTTAAAGTGTCCGCTGGAGAAACAGAACATAAAGCTTTAAAAGAAACATCCCAGTTGAATAAAATGAAGAAACGAAGAACAGCAGTCGGTAGGCTGGGGTATACCCGTGTAGAATATGTAGTCCAGGGTTCCGATAAAATCTCTAGTACAATTTGTAAATAAGGGTTCATTTGTTGTAGGATCCAGCCTTTTCCTCTGCTTATCTAAACCGATGCCGACTCCCTTTATTGCAAAGGAGGAGTAAGCACTAACCTGTGGAGAAACCATCATTCAGATTTATGAACCGGAAGATTCCTTCAGAACTGATAACCACATAATGCTTATTGACAAAAAGCATAAAGTTGGCAAATGGGAAGACTGGCTTACATACTTTGGCAAGGTTGATAGAAGACTTACCAACGGTAGCTGATGTGACAGTTTGCTATGTGGTTGACATAGATTTAGAGGATCTACAGCTAAATCTGGATGTGTCGGTTCTACTTTCCCCCTAGCAAGAAGATGATGTGGGGCACTGCAACAAGGTTCAATTACTGAGATAATAAATTCTACAGATCTGGACATGACCGTATGATGCTATTTTTCAGTAAGTGCAATTAAAGAACTACGCAGAAACGAACCTTCCAGGAACAGAATTAAAATCCCCACAGACCAACATTGGAATATCTGCACTGACTGCTATTTTCTCGAGTCCTTTCAATAGAGTATGCACCTATTTTACAGAACGTTAAATATAAATTCATATTCATGGGGAGGAAAATGAAGGAAATATGACAGTACAACGTAAATCAAATTACCTGCCAGAGCTTGACATCTTTCAAATCTTGATTCCCATTAATATGCGTATTGGCCTGATAAGAAGTTAAAATGAAATGTTCATGAAGAATAGAATATCTAAGCAGAGGAGAAGAGGTAAGGAGACTGCAAAAGCTTGGCTCCCCAAAGAAAGTGAAGCAGTGAATTACACAAAGAAACCAAAAAATCCAACTCTATGACTCCCCTAGTAGAGAGGATATCAAACAGCAAGGTTTAAAATTTGAAACAGAAAAGGCTTTGGACACCAAGTAGCTTTTGTGTGACACAGCCCAAGAAGTGCGCACACACTGCTTTAAGTTTAGTACATCTAAAATAGAAACTTTAGAGAGATAACATAGGCTTAAATATTTTTAGAAAATTAAGAAGCCTCATCGAAAATATTAACTAGCAGTTATATTAAAAACACAATAAAATCAAACCACAGAAACATCTTCAAATAGACAAACATTCAAGAGTTCTTACCACACAAACAAGCTGCCTTTTTCCTGGATTATCAACCGTTGGAGTGCTGAACTTTGATTCAAGAACTACGATAAGTGCAACATCATCCTAACAACAGGTATGGCACAAAATCATGTATAAGTTCACAAAACCTTGTGCAATCAAAATGCATGGACAAGAAGGGGAAAAGAAGCACAAGAAAATTACCTTGATTAATCTGTTTATAGCATTTCTCTTTTGAGCAGTTAGGATAGTCGCAGGATCAGTCAAAGATTGTGCAGCTTTGTTGAACTCAACCTGCAAACATGCCAAAGTACATTTAGAATGCGGCAATGCACACATCGTAATGAAGCAAACCACTTCCTAAAACACTTCCTAACCTCATATTTTTTGACATGTGCAAATCTATCTCTACGGAAAAATGTTGCACAGCCATCAATAGTTTGAATGTTCCCATTGTAGAGCTGAAAAAAGTAAATACAGAGGATGATAAAACAGATAGACTTAGTGTATACATACAAGGAGTATAATGCAAGTGATAAGTGTGAAATCAACCTCATTGGTTTTTCTCTTGTAAAGTGCCTGATATCCATGTTTGTCCAGTTCGGGAGCAAAAAATTCCATAAAGTGATCACTCTGAACCTGTTTAAAGAAGATGAACAAGGCGTAGTTGATACACAACATTCAATATTTGACCAGAAAAAAAAATGAAAAAAAAAAAAATTCAAAACTTTAACAATGTTGTCAATGTTGTGAAGTTAACAAAGGTCATCACTTCAAAAATAATAAACAAGAAAGACTAGAAAGATATATGAGAAAACTTCTCTCTTTTATGGTTTCTTTAGACCCATCTTTTACATCTCTTTATTCGGGAGGCTGCAAATCTCATTGGGTTGAAACGAGAAATATGTTTGATTGTTATTTTATTATGAATAACCAAACTTCCATTAAGGGAAAAAAAAAAAAAAAAAAAAAAAAAAAAAAAAAAAA